TTAAGAGGAGAGCTACTGTGATGATACCTACGATGGAAAGGTTGTTATACAAGGTTAGGTTAAGATCACTGAACTTGTTTTGTCTTGAAAAAAAAGAAGAGTTAGAGTGGATCTGATTGAGGTGTTTAAGGTTGTTAAGGGAATTGTTTGAAAGAGTTAAGAGGAGAGCTACTGTGATGATACCTACGATGGAAAGGTTGTTATACAAGGTTAGGTTAAGATCACTGAACTTGTTTTGTCTTGAAAAAAAAGAAGAGTTAGGGTGGATCTGACTGAGGTGTTTAAGGTTGTTAAGGGAATTGACAGTGCTGATGTATCATCTTTTTTCACATTTAATGATAAGAATTGTAAGACTAGGAGGACACAAATATAAATATTAGCAGAGTAGGAGCATTAATCAGCTAAGACAATATTATTTTTCTAACAGGGTGGTTGGCCTTTGGAACAAGTTGACTTCAGATGTAATGGATGCAGTTAATTTAAAGGAGTTTAAGGGAAATCTTGATAAGTATTTAAATAATAATGGCTGGCTTTGAGATTTTTTTTAGTATAGTTTGATTTAGTAGATAAGACATCCTAGATGGACCAAAAAATCCCTTGTTGTCCTTTAATTTTATATTACGGGTATCAAAATATAGTGCATGTAAGGAAGTGACTGACTTTTTGATGATATATATCAACCACATACACTGTAGAGAATATAATTTTTTTCAATTATTACAGGTAAGTATGTATATTTTTAGTATGATGTCCAAACCAAATATACCTACACCCTCTTCTGGAGAAATAAAATAGTTTTTAATACTAATAAAAAAATTGCTGATGTAAAGATACAACAACTTAAAAAAAGGTATCATGGTTCTTAACCCTACCAAGGCATCACGCAGATATATCCACTTTGAAATTTAGAGCCGTTTGATGCAACAAGTGGATTTACCCTACAGTTTCACAAAAACCTTTCCTTCTACTGTGACAAGCAGATTTACTCTACAGCTTCATAAAAAAACTAGAAAAGATCATATTCCTAATTTAATTTTTTGGTGGATAATTGACACTTTTTGGGAACCAGCCTGCTATGTTTTAAAATATGCAAAACTAAAATATTTGTGGCTTACAACCTAATAACGAATAAATGACATATTCACAAACATTAAACTGCAGAAAAATGGGGACTACAATTTCAACATAAACCACAGAAAATATTTATAATAGAAATATACAGCTATCAAGTAAACGTATACATATTCTTAACAATCTTCTAAAAAAAGAATAAAAAGTCACTATTTATTATGGCAAATTAAACAACAGGAAATACTCAATAGCTATGGAACTTGAAATTATTTTAGGCAGAATTAGAGTAACTTAATCTATGAGACTTTTTTATTAGTTATATTTTTGTGCACCAGCAATAACAAGCATGGGATGTTCATATACACAATTTGATTTCATTACTCCTCAGGATCTCTACCAGCCTACCCTCAAATTGAAATTCTTTTAGGCAGGATTAGAGTAAATTAAACTATGAGACCTTGGGTGTGGTGAAAATACATCAATCAAAAGGGGTTTCACCTCCTGAGTCCAAAACTGTAATTAGATCTCAAATCAGTTAAGAGATGACAGAGCTACGAGTTAAAAGTTTTACTTGAACAAAAACTCAGAGCCATTCTATAAGCCGCTATACTGTGGCTAAGATTAGAATACTATTAATTCACTTTGCACAGATCTGAAGTAGAACCAAGATTCACTGTCACTTCTTGCCACTTAAGAACTGGCATTTATAAATGTAATTTTTGCTCTCATACAGAAAAAATATAATTTTTTGAGCTTATTTTCATTCCATTTAGGCCGAGTGCTTATTTCTTTTAAGAAATAGTTTTTTTAAATATATCAAGAAAGCATAGTATAGCTGAAATGAATAGTGGATTTTGCTACTGGGATTGTATTTGAATATTCAACAATATATATACAATGAAAATATCATAATTATTTTTGTATATTAAAAGCCATTTAACCTTACTATGATAGATAAACAAACATCAAGATATGTATTCGCAGCTTGTAACTGGCAAATTAGTGGATGGGAAGTGGGTGAGTGGAGATAAGTACATATCAGAAATAGATTTTCAGTATTAGAAAATGTTAGCTTCTGAAACAGTACTACCTCCTCTCCCCAATATGTAGAATCCCACATTGGAAAGGTGGGAAAACAATCAAGCAGAGAGCGACTAGTATAAAAAAAGCAGGTGTGCCTCAATTAAAATATGAGGCATACCTGTGGGGTATAGCACTACTTCTGGAACAGGTATACTCTTCACCCAGTAAAGAAGATAAGTAGGGCAGAAACGAATAGAATACATGGCTAGGGCTAAAGGACCTTATATGAATAGGCCAAGTGAGGTCTGTCCAGGCAGAAAACATCCAGATTAAGAACCTTCGATTGATATCAAGATAGTCACACGAGGTCCACCCAGCAAAAATATCCAGGGGAAGCCCCTTGGTATACTGTGGATTATGTCAAGTGTGGTCCATCTGGGCAGAAAACATCCTGTGGAAGCACCTTGCATAATAAATTTTGTGACATATTGTGTGTATAACATGCAGCATAACGACAACTGCCCTCTTCTCATTGAGTGAGTACATATGGCTATGACACTGTGTTATTTTACAAACCTACTCGTGAGGAAACCTTCATAGTCCACTACTCCAGCGACTGGAAACCAGAAGTGGCAAGGACCCCCTATGCTCCACTAGAAGAAAGGGGGGGATTACATTTGGGGTCCAGAGGAACAACCCACCAGAGACAGTGTAATGGGTGTCTGCATTTCCCTATTTTGGAAAGCAGTAAGAACTGGATTGTAAGAATTACGCATCAGTAGGGATGGGCAAAAATTGTTATCTGCTTTAATCAGGAAGTCTATCAGTGATGGTTCTCAGGATATATATAAATATATATCTATATATATAGATATTGATATAAAAAAAATGTGATATGTAGATATAAATACACCACCGAAAAGCATCGGTGGTCTTACAGAAACACCCTATCTCCACAGTGAGCATTGGAGAAGTATACAGATATAGTGCTAAGATATAAAATTTAGTATACCTGACCAGGCAACACCCTCCACTAGGTGGGATCCTGAAAAATGATGTATAGGCAACGGTAAAAGAGAGAAAAAAAAATGATGACTTACCCCAGTCACAGGTGAACAGTTGTGTGTAGAATCACCAAAGGAAGAAGACAATATATGCCTGAGTAAGACACAGCGAAGTTGTGCAGAGAAAGAGTGACAATAGTTTAGGAAGTTGTCCACGTACCGACCTGAATGACCCCCTCCAAACAATGACAGAGTCAAGTTAGATGATGGATTAGGTGTGTAGATGGCGACTGCCCAGGGTCACATCGAAATATGCCAGGTGTAGGAGTTGACGAACCCAACCCAAGAGCGTAATAGGAGAAAGATCAGGAAAACAGGAATGCCATGGAACAATGAGACAGGAATGAGAACAACAAAATGAGACAGTACAAGCCAAACAACAGAGCAGAGAACAAAATGGATAAATGAGATGACCAGGAAACAAATGAGCATACAGGTGAAAAAAGGAAGGAAAGGAAACAGAAGAAAAGGCAAAACAACTTACCAGGGCAGCCGAAGTTGATGAAGGAATACCGGATCCGGATAATGAAAAATATATAAGAAATGGTAAAGGATGTCATAAAAAGTGGAACAATGAAGACTGCATGCCAGGAAGGGGAGGATTTAGGTCATAAGAGAAATATCTTACAAGGAGCAAATTGCAATGGAAGAACTGGACAGGATAGGAAGAACAATATAGAGATCCCAATCTGGCAGAACAAAGGAAATGTGTTGATTGGACAAGATGAAAGAAATGGAACAAGCCAGGGAAGAGAAACTTTCTGGAAGAGCGAGAAAGGAGGGGGTTTGACAGGGCAGCTCTATAAAGAGCAACAGTTGAAACAAACAAACCTTGAACAAACAATCAGATGAAGAGCTGGGACAGGTGAGAAACAGAAGTACAGGAGCGATGGAAGCCTGGGGAAAAAGACCAAAGACTGAAGCAAGACTTATGCCTCTGGTACATAGACAAAGAGGAATGGTGAAAGGTGTAGGCAGTGAAAGGTGCAACACAAGGGGTGATCCCTGAACTGAGGCATGGGACTGGACAAAAGAAACACAGAAAAAAGTGTAATTTTTCAATGTAAAGAGTCACATGTAAGACTCACAAGCAACGCTCCCTCTATTAATTAGATGGAATGCAATAACAAGGACTTTAATAACATGTGTATTGTATTGTTCAAAGCTTGCCTGTTGAATAATTAAAGATTTTATTTGAATTACCATTTTATTAATTTTTGAAATGTTTGTTTCTTCTAATTACACTTCCTACTAACAAATATGCTTTGTTTTCCTTAATATATATTTTAATTGTACTTATACTTAATTACAAAAAACATTAGTTTCAGCCCTATTTAAAGTATTATGAAAAAAAGATAACTGTCAACTTTTATTGAAATAGTTTTAAGTCAAATTATGTTATCACAACTTCATGTAAACATTCACTATTTTCTAAATCATTGTTTTTAAAAACTAGTTTATTAAAATATTATAACTATCATGCAAGTTATTTTTCAACTTTTACTTATTTTACTGCAAATAAATTGGTATAAATACAAATTTGCAAGTAAGGTGTAATACAAAAAATTATGAATAAAAAAGTAAAAAGTTTGTAAGAAATACTTGCCTGTCGTCTCTGCAAAGTGACAAACCAGTGGACTAAGATCAGACAAGACACTGCAGGGAAAAAGTAGACTCCTAAAATCCAGTATGGTCTATTGTACCATGTCATTGAGTAGCCCACTGCTCCAAGAACAGCTGCAATGGCCAGGTTAACACACAGAGCAAGTACTGCAGATGCCAATGTGATACTTATAGCTATCAAAAGTCTGCTTGCTTCCTGGCTTGCAGTGGTGTCTAAAGAATAGCAAGTATTGTTCATTAATGAGATAATTAAAAGACACAAAGCAGTTGTCATACTAGACAGCAGCGGTATTAATGATAATTTTCTATATATGTATATTCAAATACACATTATTACTTCTATTTGGCTAAACTGCTGTCAATAACCTACAAGAAGTAGAAAGCTATTAGATAAATTTTGATATTAGCTCAATTCCAAATAAAAGTTATTGATAAAGTTTTTATTTTTTTCCATATGAAAACAGTTATGGATTACCAATAGATATTTCAATTACATACAAGTCAATATTTGTCAAGTCATTCTTAGTTAAATTAACACTCCATTTAGTAAATATTTCCAACACAATAATTAAATTTTTTTCCTCCACAAACAACTGACATAAGAATTGTGTTTTAATATAAAACTTACCAATAAATTAACTAACTAACTATATATATACAGAGTTGGGCAAAAGTGAATATACAGTTGTTTCATTTAGAACAGTTTAATTTCTAATATCTTACTCTGAAACAAACAATTATTAAATTGGTTTCAAATGTATTCATAATATTTTCTTTAGTACCTACCATATCATACCAACTATATTGTATCTTTTGCATCATCCTGTACATCTTGATACTTTTCCATCAGAGTTGTTTTTCCCTGAATTATAACTTTACATACCCTCAGTTTACCATTAGTAACAAATTTTATCCCATTTAACTGCATATGATACAGTCCTTCTAAATATATCAAGTTTGTCCCAAACAGCTTATTTTTATTTATCAGCCAAGATGCTTAGTTGTTTTAACATCTCTGTTCAGTTACTAACTAACTGCAAAAAACAACAACAAATCTTTGTAATATAAATCTTTCAAACAAATTGAATAAATTTATAAATTAAACACACTATTATCTTTAACACTAATAAAAATCTATTAATACCTTTTGTGAAGCTAAATAATTCATATGCATCTCAAAACAATCTTTCTTCTCATTGTCAATGTGAAACAATCAGGCAACAGTTTCATCATATGAAGCTAACATAATTTTACTTAAAATAATAATCAGAGCAAAAGAACTCGTAAAAAACCATGAAAATTTTCATCTAAATTAATTTTTTGACTGAGGCCATAGGAAACTAAATATTATCTAATACTTTTCAAGAGCAAATACTCTTGCAATGCATATCTTTATGTATCTATCATAAATTGTTCAATTTGGTCTATTCCCAAAGTAATGCTTAGATTTGAATATTTTGGTCATCATAAATACTACTCATCACTCAGCCCATTCACAAGCATGAGCATTCTATTCACTTTGTACACAAAACAGAATTTTCAACTTTTTATATACACAGTTGTATTTAGGATGACAAAAAAAAACATTCTGCCAGTCATCTTTAATGCATGTAATGTGTTTATTACTTATTCCACTCTTAGCAAACGAAATTCTCAGTCATCATTATTCGCATACAGAATACTGATCCTATCTATGAAAGTTCATATAATATGATGAAACTACTTGGTTTTCCATGCATAGTTTATTTCTAATTATGAATAATCCTCAAATTATAGAATTGTTTACATACTGTTCATTACTGGTAGAGTATCCATATTACATTATATTAAGTAATTTTATGTTTTTTGTCTGTTACAATACCCTGTATAAAAAACTGAAGACAAAAACTGAGTGAAAAACACTCATTTTCTGTGTAAACTACATAGGAAACTCCAGTAGTAATTACAGGGATTAACTGCAACATTGATAGTGTTTTTGGCTATATCTTTATATGTGACTCATATAGTATTTGGATCTTTGTACAACCAAAGTCATGGACTAACAAGCAATTTGTGCAAACACAGCATAGAAGAATACAGTGGGATTCATTTAGGGTTAATAAAATATCTCCTATGACACATCCTACACAAAAGCAAAAAATGATTCAGAATATATTACTTGTCTGAAAAACTAAGAATGCAATTCAGTGAACAAAATTACAGTAATTCAATAAAAAATCAATAAACTAGTGACATAGTAGAGATATTCCATTTAATATGATAAAAGTGGAACAGGATAACATGTTTTGTTCTAATAAGATTTTTTTGTTTCTGTCCAGTCTATAGGTATCAGAAATCACTTGTGTAATAGTACAAAATTTCTGACATATTTCTGGTTTTTGACATATTTCCAGGGCTTCTTGGGATCCTCCTATAAATTCTTTCTGAAAATATTTACTTATATTCAATAATCTATGGCCCTGTTTTCATGTGTATTATAAAATACACAACTTATTTACCAAATGTAACTATCTACTTCTTACTTCTTGTCTCTCATACAACTTATGTCTTATGTGATAAAAAAAACTTCAGATTACATGCTTTATTACTTTTCTTTTGGAATTACTGTGTGTATTATTGTTTAATAATATTATGTTTACAGTTATTAACAAATCTAAAAGGTTGTAATGATATTTTGGGTTTACAAACTTTCTTTAAAAGGAAGATGAATAACTTTTCTGATTGTCAAGTAACTCACATATAGGTGCTGAATGAATTTCAACTAATCAATTTTTTTCCTATGAGCTCAGCTTTCCTTTAAATAACATTTACGTTGCTAGATGCAGGAAATTATTTTACTTACTATAGAAGAACATATACTTGCAATTGTTTTTTAATGGCTAAACATAAATGTGCTTCTCCTGAAGTGAGAGTAATATGCAAGCATCTCTTCCACCAAAGTTTAATATTTTGGAGCAACACAAACTGTGAATTCAGTTACCCAATAAAACTTGTGTACAATGTATATATGTACATGCCTTCCCACGCAGCAATTTGTTGATTTATGAACAATCATAAAGTTTATAGTTTTCTTGTCTATCACGTGCTCAAAGAAAATTTTTTGTATTAATTTTTCCCCACTTGGTTCAGTAATGAGTACACAGAATACACTTATCATTTCTGTTAATCCCACATAAAATAAAGAATCTTGCACTCATTCTGGTTGACTCAACGAGTTAGCTCATTATACTCACTTATTTTGTCCATTCTTAACCTTATTTTGAGAAGGATTTCCAAAACAGTCAAGATTGCAATACTTTCATTCATAATGGTACCCAAACTTGCAGAATAGGTGATCATGAACAAGCCCAGTACATCAAAGAATACAAGCTTGCTACTTCTGTACTCCAATGGGTGATTAAAGTGAGGTGACTTGAGAATATTATGAATTAGTCCCAGCATATTCTCACCTGTGAAACATAAAAATAAGATGCCACAAACATCAATTTATTAATATATATGACAATATTCCTGTGCATACAACAAAATGTTTGAAATCTCTACAATATGATTTGATTTTTCTGCTTAGAGATCTGTATTTATTAATGAAATTCCATTTTAATATTAAAAACTTATATTTCAAATAGGGTACTTTTGAATAGATTTATAGTTATAATATATACACTGAATAATGAACATGTTTGGAAGAAAATAAGTGGCAATGTCTACCTCAAACAGAGAAAAGGAAGCAAAGACCATCAAAGGACTCCAGTCATCTTCTAGTTAAAAGACCATCAACACAAAGTTCTGACATTCCCTACAAATGGTATCTAATTTGTATGTCCTGTGAACAGCCACATTTGTTAGGTACATGAACCAAGGTTCCTGTTTGTAGTTTGTTCCAACTCATACACAAGTTTTACCTCACAGAAAAGGGATAATTCATAAGGAAAAAACATTACCAGCAAAATTCCACACATACAAAATGGTGAAGGGATGATATTAAAAGAGAGACTAGATCCACATCATGATACATAATATGAACAGTCTTTGCAGAAAAAGCAGAAAGGTACATCATAGATACTGTAATTGAATCTTCCAACCAACACATTGTGAGATCACAAGAATTGGAACAATCTAAATAACTAATAGATCTAATAATGGAAAAATGAAGGAGAATGTGACAAACATTTTCAACCTAGTGTGATCTTTATCATTGATATTACATCTAGTAGTTTCCAATGCTTTACCAACTTTTGAAATTGAAACTGCAATTTAATGTTTTTTTTGTACTGCATATATAAACACAATTCCAATAAGCTTTTGTTGTCATTGTCCAGCCCAATGGACAAGTTCTGGTTTTAAATTAATAGTCATGTGAAAAAAAAAAATTTGCAGTCGCACATGATTTCTTATGACAAATATTAGAATTATATGCACCCCAAGTGTGAGTCCTTTGTTACATAAAATGATTCACTTTTTGTGTGACAATGATAGTAGAAATCATACTAATTTTATTTGCACCTTTTCTTTATACATTTGTCTCCTGTAATGTTGCAATGCATTTCTACTTTTACATGCCTCCTGTTAAAAGTCCTGTAAAAGTACCAATAATTTTTCTATACATGTTCCTGGAAAAATAAAATCTGTGATAAATGCATTTTATTTTGTTTCAAAAACAAAATGTAGGCCTCATAAACTATAACAAAAAAGGTGATTACAGTCCAAAAACTGCAAATTTATCAATTTACATTTTATGGAATATGTTTCAATTAAGATGTCAATTAATTGACATATAAAATGGTATTCTAATAATTTATTTTTCAGTTAAAAACTTAATTTAAACATATTGTACTTAACTGCAACTAAAAGATTTGGAGTTTTATAGGCCTAACGAATAGGTTAGGAATCCAACCAAATCCTGCTCTGACAAAATTAACAAAATAAAGGACTGAGACATAAAGCATTTAAGACAAAATATATTCACAGAAATACTCTAGCAAGAAGAAATAAAAGACTTTAGTTAAAACTTCCAAATGCCTTCAACAGTTTTACTTTTGTATTAGCACAAGTTTTTGGCTATTTGGTTATGGCCTTCTATAGGCAGATAGTTTATAAACATTGCTTCTCAAGAGGATCTGATGAAATTAAAAGATTCAAAGTTTTAAACATCTTTAGGTTAGCATACTAGTTCTGCTAATTTTAAAACTGACAAATTCAGTGAAGCTAATACTGAAGCTAATAATGTAGCTTGTTAGTGAATCTAGTTAGCAAGCAAGAATGAGTTCAAACCAGCAAAACAACAAAGTTAATGCTAAAACTTGCAGTACACAAAATTCATAAACTTGCTTCAATGCTTGGAATAGTAGTTAGTACTTGGAAAGTGTAATTATTAAATCTGGTATATGCAGTTGAAATAAAAATTGATGAATTTGATTGATGAGTTTTCATGTAAAATGGACATTGATAAATGAAATATTTAGAATAACATTCTTTAAAATTAGGTAGGTGATTAATGTTCATATATTATTAACATAACAAAACTATTGGCCATAAGTGTCAGAGAGTAGAAAACTGAATATCAAAATCCTTCAATTATCATACTTAGTCTTTTCACTGCTGCATGCACATGTCTCTCACATCTAGATCACTGCCATGGACACACATACAGCATAAACTATATAACCACACTATATAATATTTGTTTTAGCCAGGAAACTTGTGATCTTAATCACATGAGTTTATCAGTTTCAAGTTTCAGATAAATGATTAAATTTCAAAGTATGTGTCATTACATTTCATCTTGTGTATCTAAAAACAGATCCTTCACTGGGAGGATTGTTTATCTATAAAAATGGCAGTGAAAGAGTTAACAAGGTGACACAGTCACTGGTTAGTCTGAACTTAGCCACAACAAGAATTTTCAGATAAAACAATTTGTGTAATTTAACACACAGTACAAAACATTTCACATATTGTAAAACAAGTTAGGAAGAGCAGAATAAAACTTTTAGGGAAAAAAAACATTTCAAGTTACATTGGTTAAGAAAAAAAAAATGTCCTACACACTTTTATTTTTTAATGTATCCAAAGCTTTTTAGTGTTAAATTTTAAATAAAAACATTTTTGTTTTTAATATTATAGCTCTAAAAACACCAATAAAAATGCCATTGTCCACATGTATATATTTTAATTACTTTTATAATAAAAGCAAACAAAAAGAAAAAATTTACAATTAAAAATGTTGAAACTAATTGACAAGTAGGTTTAAATTATCATTTATACCTATAAAAACTAGCTGTCATTTTGGTTTCTGATATGATAAAAATTATTAATAAAGATAAAAATGAAAAGTTTAAACATTTTAAAAAGTTCAAAATAGAGTGACTTTCTGTGTTACACATGCAAAATACATGTATATTGTATAAATGTAAAAATAGAATTCTATAAAAAACAAAAAAAAGATAAAAGTTTTCACCTGTTCTCTGAATAGAACCTTCATTGATGAACTCTGGCCTGTCATATTTTGTGTGATAAACATAACCATTTCGCACATAAGCAAAATCCAATCCTGAAATTTGGAAAGCAGTAATCAACTACAGACATATGCCTGATTAACAGTGTATTATACAGTGTGCTTGCTAAAGGGTACCTTGAGTTTTTCTATTTTTCTGTAAAACAGTCACATTTTTATACTAAAAATATTTGGTTATTAAAACAGATAAACATTTTCAAAGCTCTATCTGGTTATCAAAGGGTAACACTGGAGATCGATAAGTCCTCGGGAAACTTTCTTTATGAATGAGTAAAATAAACCTCTTTGGCAAACGTGAAATATGTAAATCCAAAATGCTATCTCCTACAGGAATTAGGATACCATTTCCTTGATTCACTTAGCACTTCAGAAATTAGAAGTGTAACATATGATTTTAGCAAATGTATTTTATGTTATTAAAAGATTTCCTAGGACAAGCACAGTAAAACTGCCTCACAAATCATTGGATGAATGTAAAAAAAAACAACTGATGTCAGCAGGCCACAGGCTGTAGCATTAGAAAAGTTTATAGTAATTCTAGATTAATTCCAGTTTTACTACATGTAGATAAAAACATAATGTATGCTTTATATTTAAGAACTGTAAAAAAAAAAAATTAATAAGTCACATAATCATGTACATTAAGTATCCTATTAACATTTTTGATTCTTTAAATCATGTTGAAAGCAATCTTTGATGTTACTGATTTCACTAAAACTTTAAAAAATATCTTATGAAATTACATTTAATATCTAATTTTTAAATTTCAATCCAACAGTTTACAGTTACATGTGTGAATCTTACAAGGAAAACTACAAAACAAATGAAACAGTAATGTTGAGTACATACCTGGAATGCCTCCAAACTCTGTGAAAATTCTGAAGTCAGTATCTGCTGGAACCACTCCACTTTGAAACACCTCCTGGGCAATAATTGAACCAAATGGAAATTTAGCTCCGTCAGCATAGGCCTGAACTATCCAGGGATGCTCCGGTCCTGAATGTAAATAGAATTGAACAAATGTACAAAAAATGCAACTAATTTTTAATAATGATAAGAAGTCACTTGATATGGGCACAGAAGTTTCAAAACATTGATACTTGAGACGTTTCTAACTTAATTTCTTTTCAGCCCAACTTTACTTTTTTTTTAACATACTCTGAAATTAGCCCTCAAGAATTTAAAGTTATTATAAAGTTGGTCAGAAGAGTGAGCATTTAAAAAATAACTGAAACTTACATGTAATATTTATAGGTTAATTGGCATTCATTTTTAATATTCTGTCCCTCTAATTTTTTATCATATAATTACACATTGTTAGTAGTCTGATATATAATTACCATTTTGCTAAAAACATAGGGTACTTTTCTACACTTACACTAATGCTGCTGGTGTAAAACTATTTTTATATACAAGTACCAACTGTATAAAACTCTGTACACAACCATGTTACTCTCACAACTTGCATTAAATATTTTAACACCTGTTGCATTTTCAGCTGACTTGTATTAGACTGATACATATGTACCAGTCTCCAGAAATTGATGTATATGTACATGCTTAGAACATTTGAGTTAACATATGGTGTCCATCAGTCACAAATACTTAGAATGAGCATTGAGCTGAGGAAAAACAATACATGTACTTTTATATATTTATAAAATAGAGCACATAAAATCAGAAAATTGACTACATGATCATTGCTGTAAAAAGCCAAAAGGTATCATCATCATACCTTTTGTAGAGAAATGGTTTCAATTCCAAAGGTAACTGTATAGCTACTTGTGCTAATACAGACAAGAAAAATGTTTTACAAAGTCTAAGAGTTACCACAATGCCATGCTAAGTTATATATGTGTGTGTGTGCACTTACAAAGTCTCCTCAAAGCCCAACCTCATTTCTTTGTCCTCGGAGATGGAAAAGGAACAAAGAAGTAGAAGACTAGCAACCTGTCTAAAAGAAGGAAACTCTAATGTATAACCCGCATCTATGCTGTAACTAAACAAGTAACATGTACTGTACTATGTAATAACAAGACAGAAAGACATTTACGGTATCAATTACACTTCACTGATGAGAGATCCAGATTTCTGGTCAGATCACCAACTTATAAGAAGCAACCTTCCCATGAACATCAAGATAAAGTACCCACAGACATAAACAAAAAAAAAAGGTTAATAAACTTAAAGCATCATATGTCAAACAGGACACCACTAGGAAAGGATTTCAAAACAGACTCACAAGTTCAGTCTAAGAAACAGAACCAAGTTTGTTTGTAACAGAGTTGAAAGCTGCATGGAGCACCTTGAGAGACATTGTTTGTCAGACAACATCCAAGGTCCTTGGGTTTAATCCATGAAAACACCATGACTGGTTTGACAAAAATTATCGGGGAATAACAAAACTCATAAAATCTATGTGTGGTACCCATAAATGAAAAAATGTCAAAAGATAAAAAGAAAACATATAACAGTCTCATACAGATACTACAGTTCTGACTACAGAAAATGAAAACACAATGGTGGTAAAGCAAAGCAGAAGAACTCCAAAGAGCTGCTGATTCACATGACTGTGAGAGATTCTTTGAAGGATTATGTTGTATGTATGACCCCTAATCAAACACCAAACTCCAGCTCACAGACAAATACATCCTTAAACACTGAGCTGAACACTTCAGTACAGTTCTAAATCAATCACCTGCAATGTCCCAAGAGACCCTGAATGAGTTGTCTCAACATGAGATAAAAATTACTTGGCAGCACCATCTACAATGGGAGAAGTAGCTACAGTGATATAGCAAACACAAGGAAAAGCCTCTAGGCAAGATGATATACTGGCTGAGATATACATGTATGATGGCCGCCTTCTGAAAAACAATTAATATCACCCATCTTAAACATATGGAACTTAGAAACTGTGCTACAACAAATTAAAGATGCCTCAATAGTACATCTATATAAAAATAAGGGTAACCATAAAATCTAAATAATCACTGAGGTATATAACTCTTTCTATCACAGGAGAGATCTTAGCTCAAGTCATTCCCAATTGATTAATGGAATACCTATAACCAAAAATTTTTCCGAGGTCACAATGTGGTTACAGATCCAATAGAGGAACTACAAAAAAAAAAGTGCAAAGAATAACATAAAAACATGTACATAGTGTTTGTTGACCTTGCCAAGGCTTATGAATCATCTTACAAAAACTTGGATGTCCAAACAAACTAATCAACATCATATGTTCTTTCCATGGCAACACAACAGCACCTGTCCTGTTATAAAAAATTATGACTCTTTAGGCTCTTTTACCATAACGAACGGTACAAAGCAGAACTGTATCCTGGCCTCTACACTATTTTCAACTGTCTTCTCCATCACACTCTAGGATGCTTTTAAGACCTTAAAAGATGGCATCTACATACAATTTTGAGCAGACAGGTAGCCGTTAAATTTCAGGAGATTTCAAGCAAGAACTAAGACCAGAAAAATGATCATCAGGGAATTACTCTTTACAAATGACTGTACATTTGTTGCTCCCACTGTAAATGACAATCAAAGCATTACATACAGGTTCTCTGGGGCCTGTAAACAGTTTGGTCTAACAATAAGTTTGAAAAAGACAGAGGCCTTATACCAATTGGTACCTTACAGACATTACACTGACCTTGTGGTCCATATTAATGACACAAAGCTGAAGTACATGAACAAATTTTGCTACCTTGGCAGCATTATCTCGAATGAGAAGCAAACTGATGATGAAGTGAATCAGTGTATAGCAAAAGCAAACCAGGTTTTTGTCATGTTAATAACTAGAATGAGGAATGAAAATGGAATTAATATGAAGATCAAAATATATTATACACTTGTACTCACCACCCTCCTTTATGGATGTGAGACTTGGACCACATACAAATGCCAAGTTAAACAACTTGGTCGATTTCATAACTGTTGCCTTCATGAAATCTGTTACACCAATGGCAAGACAAAATCCCAAACACCAAGGTTCTGCAGAGATACTCGAACAGTGAAGTGGAAAGCCTAATCATGAAAGCACAATATAGATGGGCAGGACATCTGGCTCACACAATTGACCAATAAATTCCTAAAGCTCTGCTGTATGGCCAGCTGGAAATGAGTAAAAGACCAGGTCAGATGCCCCAAAGATGCTACAAGGATATGTCTAAAGACCATATTTAATTATCAGTATAGATGGAAAGAATTAGCCTCAGATTGCACAAAGTGGCAAACAACATGCAATGAAGATCTCAAGATACTAAAAAACCAACATATTTCTAATACTGAAATAAAGTACCAGAAAAGAAAAGTGTCCAACAAAGTTTACACCTGGAGCATCTATGGTAAGGCCTGTCGTGTCCAAATCTGATTAATCTCCCATACAAGGTGTTAAAAGTCTGTTGCTGAGAACTAATACGCCATTCCAAAGTGACAATCCACTACGTGTTTACAAAACTTACCATAGAAAAATAACTTTCTCGAGAGAAATGTTTTACTTAGTTTGTTGTGCTGTCAAGTAAAATTTGTAAATTTCCAAATATTCAAAACATTTCATAAGTTTACAGTTTTTGATTTAGTGTTGTATGTCTATGAGTAGATACTGGTTTCTAATTTACATAATTTTTATTAAAAACTCTTTCTTGAGCCCATCTAGTAAAATGAGAGAAAGTTCCAAAGAATTAGTTAGAGAAACCAATACTTAAGAGAATTTTTCATTCAAAAACAATTTGGCAAATAAAATGGTTCATAATAAACAGCCCCCCAGTGACACATCTGTGAACTTACAACGCTAGAAACTGGGTTTCGATACCTGTGGTGGGCAGAACACAGATAGCCAATTGTGTAACTTTGTGCTAACTTCAAACACACAAACATAATAAACAAATTATAAAAATGTAGAGAACATTCAGGTAAACTAAGCAACACCAAGAATATTACTGGAGAAAAATGTTAATATTCTTGGTGTTGGAGAAGAATGCTGATAAACAAGCTAGGAAAGTTATCATTTTCCTAATCTGAAAATATATTTCCAAACATACTTACCTCTGCTGATACTTATAGCTATTTTTGATCTTCATCTTTGCCATCTAAACATCATGTTCTCTTGCTCCAGTCTTTATACCCCACTCGACTGCCATCAGCAATATCTAATTTGCAAAAATTGACACCAGCCTTCACATGCCCTCTATGCAGATACTGTATATAAACACTGTATGTTGACAATATAATAACTTTTTGAGAATTACCCCATCTCAGTCACTAACACCAGCTCTTAGTGGGGAGGAAGGGAGGGGAGTGTCAGTGGAGGTATGTTGGGAAATACATTTTCAGATTAGAAAAATGATAACTTCCAAAACATACATACTGCTGCTGAACTTTATAGTTAGAATCCCACATTGAGAAGGTGGAGAGGCTGGTGAAGGCACAGTTCATACAGAAAGCATCTGCATAGAACAAAGATGTACCATGAGAAGTGACACCCAAGCAGAAAACCGCACTACATCGAGAATGGGTATGCTCTACACCCAGAACTACAGAAAAGTGAAAAGGGTGGAATATTATACAAGTAAGTATGATGGGCCAGCCCCAACCACGCAACTGAGGTTCCACAACACGGGGGTGGATTTAAGGGGTCATGGTATCCATATCCTCTGTTGGTGGCAATGGTAGTTGGACTACAAATATATACATATCTCTGTGATAGGATTCCCACCAGTAGCCACGAAATGATGCATTTCGAACAACCGGATTTATGAAAGAAAGAAAGCAACACCAAAGTGGACAATCCTTCTGATCAACTCGAAGAAGTCTGAAAGGCAACATCCCAGGCTTGGATTGACGGGATCATATATCTCATATTTCACCCAAGGTACAGAACTCATCCAGTCTGGATTTACGAACAGTCACTTTCACTCCCCAACCAAGTGGGCAAGGAGAATCCCAATTACCCAAGGAATTACGGAGAGGACGTGGAACAC